GTGACACCTGTTCCACTAACTGATTGTAGCCAGTCCCGATCTTACAATCCAATCCAAGCTTAGATCAGGACTCTTTCGTGCAGAGATAGAGAAATGAGAGGAAGTAGTATATTGGAACCAAGTGTAAACGTGGAGAAAAAGCATCGAGCAAAATATTAGGGTAGTGAGCACCTTGGTTTCAGGGGCAAGTGCGTGTTAATGCCTCTACCTCGCCACAAGCACATCATCTGATAACATATCTAGAATCTAGTCTAGTCAGTGGTCTTGAAAAACACAGGGGCTGCCTTTAAATTTAGGATCCCCTACCAAATAAGCCCACATGAAATCAAACATATTTGTATCTTTTTGTTTCAGAACATTGTTCACTTCAAGACCCATCCCTATTCTTAACCATGACGTTGCAATATTGTTGTACAAATGTATTACACCGACTCCCTTGGCTGTGTTCCCATGACGACAGTGGTCAGACTGGCCTCACATTTGTAAGGCTTTGAACAGTGCAGTGTTTGTTTACATCGCAGAATTAACAAATTCATTTCATGGTTGGTAAAGAATTAGGGACGCTCTTCTTCTTAGACTTTGGATCTTAACTTTACGATTGACTTGGTTAAGATTAGTTAGTGGAACGGTAAGCCGATCGTAATGTCACGCTAAGATTGGGATTTTAGGGTTTTATGATTGGCGTAGGGCTAAGATCGGTTAGTGGAACGGCACCCAGGGAATTAGTTACGTCACTAGCTGCCTGGGTGTCCATGTGACTTGAACAAGTCGTTGTGAGCTGTCAGTGGATATCCTCGAACACGTTCATAATCCTTTACTTGAGGCACGTCGCTTCGTACATGGGAGACCTCAGCTCCTTATAACATCAAGGGTAATGGTAAGGGGGAGGGGAAGAGGGTAGGATCAAGGGAATCACATCGAGATGGCAATGGATATGGAAGTTCAGACTGGGAGGGACAAAACAGAGGGAACCATTTATCTAAAGGGTAAAGCTCGTTGAGACCCTTATCTTATAACCGAGCACCACTTATTGTATTTGTATGCTTGGGAAGACTCAATTTCACTACCTGAAGTGATGTCTGTTATCCGCAAGTTCTAGAGTGTAGATTTAAGGATACGTAAGGAACTGGAAGTGATGTCATTAATCGGAAGTAATGACTATAGGCTGGAAGTGACGTAATGAACCGGAAATGACGTCATGGAACCGGAAGTGACGTCATGGAACCAGAAGTGACGTCATAGACTAGAAGTCTATGGATATAAGATCAGTTTTTCAGAGAAGGAATTACTAATACTATTCTTGTCTAAATGACATCACTGGAAGGGTATTGTGGATAGAGTCTTCTGAGAATATGTTTGGGATTTCAATCTCTCACGATATTAATCCATTTCCTATATATTTGTATCTAATTTATTCCTAAGTCATAGTTATCCATGGTAGGTTATGTGGATGTAACTGGCTCAGTAAGTGGTATGATGTAAGCCCTCCTTCCTTATGTGGGATTCAGGCAACCATAATCCAGAGGGAATGTTTACGACATTATTAGGAACAATTACATGTATTGTTAGTAATTGTTAGTGAACTTATATCTGGATTATGCGGTCTAGTTTCTACCCTTCATCCATGTGATTTAATCCAGAAGATGTTATATATGTTCCAGAAAATTTCTGAAGAGTTTCAAGCAACAATGCTTTGACATCACAGCTAAGGGAGATAACTCTGTATCTCTTTAGGCATACCACTGGTGATAAATTTTCATTTCCATTTCTGTATGTGTCTGTGGTACCCACAGGTATAAGGCAACCATAATCCAGAGATAATTTTACTAATAATTACTAACAATACATGTAATTGTTCCTGTTTCACATACTGTTTCTCAAAATGTTACACACACACTGTTTCACATAATGTTACACTGTTTCACATAATGTTACTCACAGTTTCACATAATGTTTTACATGTTACACACTGTTTCACACAGTTTCACATACTGTTACACACTGTTGACACACTGTTACACCTACAGGGTTGGGAAAGTAAAGCATGCATGGCATGTTCTAGGTGACAAGTGTCATGGGTGTAGCTGACATTTTTTTGACAACTTTGTGTTCCACTGGCAGGGTTTATGTCTTCCAGGGCCAAGGGTGTCTGTTTAATTGCTGGAGTAGTAAATAATGTATGTAAAAGGTCTGTTTTACATGCAGTTTGGAAATGGCACTCATTACATTCTGGAAATTATGTGCATTCAGTCATGTTTTAAGAGTACTGGAATGTACAGCCTTTTCTTATCTGTACCGGCGTGTCAGGTTGCTCTGAACCATACTGCTAAGTTATGATCACCACTGCCTACAAAGAACGTGTGACCAGTACTTGGTCTGATCACCTGTCAGAGACCATCTTACCAGAACTGAAATATTTACAAATTACAAAAACAAATGTTAAAAACCTAAACCCTGATGTGATCACAGTCTGGCACGCTCATGTTCCCAATTAGTGTTTTGATGTTCAGTAAGAGCATCACACTCCACTCCATGCAGATGATGGTATCCTGCTCTGAAAAGGCGTCAAAGATCCCGACTATGGGGCAACCTCCACGAGGATGAAGCCTGGTGCTGTTGTAACAACATTCACATCCTAAATGTCCCACACCTTGTGCCCTACGGCAACACATGGAAATGTAGAGTTCCTCCATGCCGTTCACCTATGTTTGGGATTCTGAAATCCATCTACTTGTCACCCTATGCTCAACAGTCCTGGCAATATCTTGAATAATTAGTGAAAAGTACTGGAGCTCTTCCCTAGTCTATTCTACCAATATAATCTTCTTTTCAGTCCAATCCTTCTACGACAGATGATTACATGCCTGAGTAGAAATGTAACACCTATGACTGACGTCCCTGCAGTTTGTCTTATAAGCAGCATTTATCAGTCAGCTACAACAGAATTGTTTGGGGCAAGGCATTAAACCTGTAATTTCCACCACCCCTTCAGTGGTGCAAAACAAACAAATTTACATATATGCAGTAGAATCTCTGCTCTTCTACACAACAGATGTCCTAAATAGCCTTTCAGTTTTAGCTTCAACCAAATCAGTAAGTGTGCTATTGTCCCTGGATTTCTGGTCCATTACTTGACTGTCCCAGCCATGTCCATGCTGCCACTGTAAGGCAGGGGTACGGCTGTGTTGGCAATAACAACATATCTGTTTATGCTGATTGTGTAAGTGTCAAGTACCACACACTGGGCTGCACAACATTCATCGTCACACCTTGCGTAGTCACGGGATTTTCAGTGATCTGTTTAATAATTTTCACCATAAATTTGCTTTTTAGCCCAAGGGAATCTGTTAAGTCAGGGCTTACAACGTTTGAAAAGACAAGGATTTCCTTATATTTCTCATGATACTGAGTGTAAAGACCCTATGACTGACTGACTGACTGAGTTTGGTTTTACGCTGCTTTTAGCAATATTCCAGCAATATCACGGCTGGGGACACCAGAAATGGGCTTCACACATTGTACCCATGTGGGGATTCGAACCCAGGTCTTCGGCGTGACGAGCCAACGCTTTAACCATTAGGCTACCCCACCGCCCCAAAGACACTATGATCAGGAAATGGTTGATGATAGACAGTATTTAAATCACCACTTCTAATTACTTGAACAATGACAATAAAAAGCATATATCATAATTGTAACTCTCTTGATGCTTAGTCAGGATTTTAGTGATATGTTACTTAGATTTTCTGCATCAATGTGAACATCATAACTTTCATATTTATGAACATGAGGATTAAACATTTGAAATTGTGTATGACTTGTGCACTGGCACCAAATGGAACTCTACCACAACCTTGTCTGTGTTGTTCATACTCCTGAGAGATGGTGACCTCAAGGGTACATGGGTTGTCTGGACAGTTGTTAAACACACACCCTCAGAACCAAACACCACTGAATGTCTTGTTGTTGGCACCTGGTGACCTCAACATGACACTGGGTTGGGCCTGGGTATGATACACTCCATGAGATGTACACTGTTAGGGCCTGAGTATGATACACCCATGGTTGTCTGTGTTGTTCCTCCTCCTGAGAGACACTGGTGACCTGTACCATCCATTTTCAGTTTCTAGGTCAGAACTTGTCTGTGTTGTTAGCCTCCTGAGAGATGGTTGATGCAGAACAGTGTGTCTGGGTTGTCTGTCTTGTTCCCCTCCTGAGACATTGGTTGTCTGTGTTGTTGTCTGTGTTGTTCCTCCTGAGAGATGGTGACCTCAACATGGGTTGTCTGTGTTGTTAGCCTCCTGAGAGATGGTGACCTCAACATTGTTGTCTGTGTTGTTAGCCTCCTGAGAGATGGTGACCTCAACATTGGTTGTCTGTGAGATTGACCTCAAGCCTCCTGAGAGATGGTGACCTCAACATTGGTTGTCTGTGTTGTTCCCCTCCTGAGAGATGGTGACCTCAACATTGGTTGTCTGTGTTGTTAGCCTCCTGAGAGATGGTGACCTCAACATTGGTTGTCTGTGTTGTTCCCCTCCTGAGAGATGGTGACCTCAACATGGGTTGTCTGTGTTGTTAGCCTCCTGAGAGATGGTGACCTCAACATTGGTTGTCTGTGTTGTTAGCCTCCTGAGAGATGGTGACCTCAACACTGTGTTGTTGTCCTGAGAGATGGTGACCTCAACATTGTTGTCTGTGTTGTTAGCCTCCTGAGAGATGGTGACCTCAACATTGGTTGTCTGTGTTGTTAGCCTCCTGAGAGATGGTGACCTCAACATTGGTTGTCTGTGTTGTTAGCCTCCTGAGAGATGGTGACCTCAACATGGGTTGTCTGTGTTGTTAGCCTCCTGAGAGATGGTGACCTCAACATTGGTTGTCTGTGTTTTTAGCCTACTGAGAGATGGTGACCTCAATAATAGTTGTCTGTGTTGTTCCCCTCCTGAGAGATGGTGACAGCAACAGCCTGTTTTGTATTGTAATGTTTGTTCTGTTTGCTGCAGGTCTTCTGCCCAACCGGTCTCCAACTGGCCCTGGTGAGATGGGGAAGGCAGTTGTTGTCCCCAAGAACCTTGAAGCTGAAGCCAAAAGCAAGTTCAAAATCAACCAGTTTAACCTTGTGGCCAGTGACATGATGTCCCTCAACAGATCATTGCCTGACTACAGAATGGATGCGTAAGTTGACATTGTCTGTCATAACATATCTGATATATTGTCCATACTTGGGTTGATCTGTTATGCCCTCCTATCATGGTTTCGATCTTGGTAGTTGTGGAATACTAAGTATTCTGGTTAATGAATATGCAAAGGTTATTTGCTAAGAGTGTCTTGGTTTTATGTCTTCATCTTGTGAATAATTCTATTAAAAGAAAACAAACTCTTGCTGTCATAAACTTAACTTAATGTGCAAGTTGTATGTATATATCTGTGACATTGACAAATGATTGGTGGCGTGTGAGGCCTGAGCACCCATCTGGTTTCTTGTGCTGTTACTTCTACCTTCTTACATCATGTTGTGGCTTTAAGTGTACTTGGTTTGATTTGTCAGGGATTATTTGTGTGTATAGTTCAGTGTGGGATAAGTTGGTTTGGACAGGGATTATTTGTGTGTATAGTTCAGTGTGGGATAAGTTGGTTTGGACAGGGATTATTTGTGTGTATAGTTCAGTGTGGGATAAGTTGGTTTGGACAGGGATTTGTGTGTATAGTGTGTGGGATAAGTATTATTGTCAGTGTGGGATAAGTTGGTTTGGACAGGGATTATTTGTGTGTATAGTTCAGTGTGGGATAAGTTGGTTTGGACAGGGATTATTTGTGTGTATAGTTCAGTGTGGGATAAGTTGGTTTGGACAGGGATTATTTGTGTGTATAGTTCAGTGTGGGATAAGTTGGTTTGGACAGGGATTATTTGTGTGTATAGTTCAGTGTGGGATAAGTTGGTTTGGACAGGGATTATTTGTGTATATTTCAGTGTTGGATAAGTTGGTTTTGACAGGGATTATTTGTGTGTATAGTTTAGTGTGGGATAAGTTGGTTTGGACAGGGATTATTTGTGTGTATATTTCAGTGTGGGATAAGTTGGTTTGGACAGGGATTATTTGTGTGTATAGTTCAGTGTGGGATAAGTTGGTTTGGACAGGGATTATTTGTGTGTATAGTTCAGTGTGGGATAAGTTGGTTTGGACAGGGATTATTTGTGTGTATATTTCAGTGTTGGATAAGTTGGTTTGGACAGGGATTTTTTGTGTGTATAGTTTAGTGTGGGATAAGTTGGTTTGGACAGGGATTATTTGTGTGTATAGTTTAGTGTGGGATAGGTTGGTTTGGACAGGGATTATTTGTGTGTATAGTTTAGTGTGGGATAAGTTGGTTTGGACAGGGATTATTTGTGTGTATAGTTCAGTGTGGGATAAGTTGGTTTGGACAGGGATTATTTGTGTGTATAGTTCAGTGTGGGATAAGTTGGTTTGGACAGGGATTATTTGTGTGTATAGTTTAGTGTGGGATAGGTTGGTTTGGACAGGGATTATTTGTGTGTATAGTTTAGTGTGGGATTATTTGTGTGTATAGTTCAGTGTGGGATAAGTTGGTTTGGACAGGGATTATTTGTGTTCAATGTGTTTAGAATTGAGCATAAGAACTCTAAGTGTTTAACAGATGTAAGAAGAAGAACTACCCACCCCTGGACGACCTCCCCACCACCAGTGTGGTCATTGTGTTCCACAATGAGGCCTGGTCCACCTTGCTCCGCACTGTCCACAGCATCATGAACCGGTCGCCACGGAAATTGCTCCAAGAGATCATCTTGGTGGATGATGCCAGTGAGAAAGGTAATCAGATACGTGGAAAGGACATTTTTTTAACTCATGTCTTGTACTCTCTCTCTCAAGGTCGACAGCTGAGTGGAAACAAACTGTAAACAATGATTACACAATGCCATTTAGAAAATGGTCAAATGCAACATATGTTATATTTGGGATTACACTTTCTCAGTAAAGTACAAATCCTAGTACTTTTGTTGGGTGGAGTCCCATCTGGGATTCGAACCCACACCCTCAGAGTCAGGCACCAAATCACCAGCACACAAAGTCACCCGCCCTAACCCGCTCAGCCTCCATAATCTCAGATGTAACATATATTGCATCTGACCACTTTCTAAATGGCATTGCATAGAAGGTCTCTGTTGTGGCTGTGCTGTACTTCAACATGAAACTGTAACACCATCTAATTGTCTGTCAGTGCTCCTGTGTGTTGCCCTACTTTAGCATGAAACTGTAACACCATCTAATTGTCAGTGCTCCTGTGTGTTGCCCTACTTTAACATGAAACTGTAACACCATCTAATTGTCAGTGCTCCTGTGTGTTGCCCTACTTCAACATGAAACTGTAACACCATCTAATTGTCTGTCAGTGCTCCTGTGTGTTGCCCTACTTTAACATGAAACTGTAACACCATCTAATTGTCTGTCAGTGCTCCTGTGTGTTGCCCTACTTTAGCATGAAACTGTAACACCATCTAATTGTCAGTGCTCCTGTGTGTTGCTCTACTTTAACATGAAACTGTAACACCATCTAATTGTCTGTCAGTGCTCCTGTGTGTTTGCCCTACTTTAACATGAAACTGTAACACCATCTAATTGTCAGTCAGTGCTCCTGTGTGTTGCCCTACTTTAACATGAAACTGTAACACCATCTAATTGTCTGTCAGTGCTCCTGTGTGTTGCCCTACTTTAACATGAAACTGTAACACCATCTAATTGTCAGTGCTCCTGTGTGTTGCCCTACTTTAACATGAAACTGTAACACCATCTAATTGTCTGTCAGTGCTCCTGTGTGTTGCCCTACTTTAACATGAAACTGTAACACCATCTAATTGTCAGTGCTCCTGTGTGTTGCCCTACTTAACATGAAACTGTAACACCATCTAATTGTCTGTCAGTGCTCCTGTGTGTTGCCCTACTTTAACATGAAACTGTAACACCATCTAATTGTCTGTCAGTGCTCCTGTGTGTTGCCCTACTTAACATGAAACTGTAACACCATCTAATTGTCTGTCAGTGCTCCTGTGTGTTGCCCTACTTTAACATGAAACTGTAACACCATCTAATTGTCAGTGCTCCTGTGTGTTGCCCTACTTTAACATGAAACTGTAACACCATCTAATTGTCTGTCAGTGCTCCTGTGTGTTGCCCTACTTTAACATGAAACTGTAACACCATCTAATTGTCTGTCAGTGCTCCTGTGTGTTGCCCTACTTAACATGAAACTGTAACACCATCTAATTGTCTGTCAGTGCTCCTGTGTGTTGCCCTACTTTTAACATGAAACTGTAACACCATCTAATTGTCAGTGCTCCTGTGTGTTGCCCTACTTAACATGAAACTGTAACACCATCTAATTGTCTGTCAGTGCTCCTGTGTGTTGCCCTACTTTAACATGAAACTGTAACACCATCTAATTGTCTGTCAGTGCTCCTGTGTGTTGCCCTACTTTAACATGAAACTGTAACACCATCTAATTGTCTGTCAGTGCTCCTGTGTGTTTATACTTAACATGAAACTGTAACACCATCTAATTGTCTGTCAGTGCTCCTGTGTGTTTGCCCTACTTTAACATGAAACTGTAACACCATCTAATTGTCTGTCAGTGCTCCTGTGTGTTGCCCTACTTTAACATGAAACTGTAACACCATCTAATTGTCTGTCAGTGCTCCTGTGTGTGTGCCCTACTTTAACATGAAACTGTAACACCATCTAATTGTCTGTCAGTGCTCCTGTGTGTTGCCCTACTTAAACATGAAACTGTAACGCCATCTAATTGTCTGTCAGTGCTCCTGTGTGTTGCCCTACTTAACATGAAACTGTAACACCATCTAATTGTCTGTCAGTGCTCCTGTGTGTTGCCCTACTTTTAACATGAAACTGTAACACCATCTAATTGTCTGTCAGTGCTCCTGTGTGTTGCCTCTACTTTAACATGAAACTGTAACACCATCTAATTGTCTGTCAGTGCTCCTGTGTGTTGCCCTACTTAACATGAAACTGTAACACCATCTAATTGTCTGTCAGTGCTCCTGTGTGTTGCCCTACTTTAACATGAAACTGTAACACCATCTAATTGTCAGTGCTTCTGTGTGTTGCCCTACTTTAACATGAAACTGTAACACCATCTAATTGTCTGTCAGTGCTCCTGTGTGTTGCCCTACTTTAACATGAAACTGTAACACCATCTAATTGTCTGTCAGTGCTCCTGTGTGTTGCCCTACTTAACATGAAACTGTAACACCATCTAATTGTCTGTCAGTGCTCCTGTGTGTTGCCCTACTTTAGCATGAAACTGTAACACCATCTAATTGTCTGTCAGTGCTCCTGTGTGTTGCCCTACTTAACATGAAACTGTAACACCATCTAATTGTCTGTCAGTGCTCCTGTGTGTTGCCCTACTTTAACATGAAACTGTAACACCATCTAATTGTCAGTGCTTCTGTGTGTTGCCCTACTTTAACATGAAACTGTAACACCATCTAATTGTCTGTCAGTGCTCCTGTGTGTTGCCCTACTTAACATGAAACTGTAACACCATCTAATTGTCTGTCAGTGCTCCTGTGTGTTTGCCCTACTTTAACATGAAACTGTAACACCATCTAATTGTCAGTGCTTCTGTGTGTTGCCCTACTTTAACATGAAACTGTAACACCATCTAATTGTCTGTCAGTGCTCCTGTGTGTTGCCCTACTTTAACATGAAACTGTAACACCATCTAATTGTCTGTCAGTGCTCTCCTGTGTGTTGCCCTACTTTAACATGAAACTGTAACACCATCTAATTGTCTGTCAGTGCTCCTGTGTGTTGCCCTACTTTAACATGAAACTGTAACACCATCTAATCGTCTGTCAGTGCTCCTGTGTGTTTGCCCTACTTTAACATGAAACTGTAACACCATCTAATTGTCTGTCAGTGCTCCTGTGTGTTGCCCTACTTTAACATGAAACTGTAACACCATCTAATTGTCTGTCAGTGCTCCTGTGTAAGGCCCTACTTTAACATGAAACTGTAACACCATCTAATTGTCTGTCAGTGCTCCTGTGTGTTGCCCTACTTTAACATGAAACTGTAACACCATCTAATTGTCTGTCAGTGCTCCTGTGTGTTTGCCCTACTTTAACATGAAACTGTAACACCATCTAATTGTCTGTCAGTGCTCCTGTGTGTTGCCCTACTTAACATGAAACTGTAACACCATCTAATTGTCTGTCAGTGCTCCTGTGTGTTGCCCTACTTAACATGAAACTGTAACACCATCTAATTGTCTGTCAGTGCTCCTGTGTGTTTGCCCTACTTTAGCATGAAACTGTAACACCATCTAATTGTCTGTCAGTGCTCCTGTGTGTTGCCCTACTTAACATGAAACTGTAACACCATCTAATTGTCTGTCAGTGCTCCTGTGTGTTGCCCTACTTTAACATGAAACTGTAACACCATCTAATTGTCTGTCAGTGCTCCTGTGTGTTGCCCTACTTTAACATGAAACTGTAACACCATCTAATTGTCTGTCAGTGCTCCTGTGTGTTGCCCTACTTTAACATGAAACTGTAACACCATCTAATTGTCAGTGCTTCTGTGTGTTGCCCTACTTTAACATAAAATTGTAACACCATCTAATTGTCTGTCAGTGCTCCTGTGTCTTGCCCTACTTAACATGAAACTGTAACACCATCTAATTGTCTGTCAGTGCTCCTGTGTGTTGCCCTACTTTAACATGAAACTGTAACACCATCTAATTGTCTGTCAGTGCTCCTGTGTGTTGCCCTACTTTAACATGAAACTGTAACACCATCTAATTGTCTGTCAGTGCTCCTGTGTGTTGCTTCTACTTAACATGAAACTGTAACACCATCTAATTGTCTGTCAGTGCTCCTGTGTGTTGCCCTACTTTAACATGACACTGTAACACCATCTAATTGTCTGTCAGTGCTCCTGTGTGTTGCCCTACTTTAACATGAAACTGTAACACCATCTAATTGTCTGTCAGTGCTCCTGTGTGTTGCCCTACTTAACATGAAAACTGTAACACCATCTAATTGTCTGTCAGTGCTCCTGTGTGTTGCCCTACTTTAGCTTGAAACTGTAACACCATCTAATTGTCTGTCAGTGCTCCTGTGTGTTGCCCTACTTAACATGAAACTGTAACACCATCTAATTGTCTGTCAGTGCTCCTGTGTGTTTGCCCTACTTTAGCATGAAACTGTAACACCATCTAATTGTCTGTCAGTGCTCCTGTGTGTTGCCCTACTTAACATGAAACTGTAACACCATCTAATTGTCTGTCAGTGCTCCTGTGTGTTGCCCTACTTTAGCATGAAACTGTAACACCATCTAATTGTCTGTCAGTGCTCCTGTGTGTTGCCCTACTTAACATGAAACTGTAACACCATCTAATTGTCTGTCAGTGCTCCTGTGTGTTGCCCTACTTTAGCATGAAACTGTAACACCATCTAATTGTCTGTCAGTGCTCCTGTGTGTTGCCCTACTTTAACATGAAACTGTAACACCATCTAATTGTCTGTCAGTGCTCCTGTGTGTTGCCCTACTTTAGCATGAAACTGTAACACCATCTAATTGTCTGTCAGTGCTCCTGTGTGTTGCCCTACTTTAACATGAAACTGTAACACCATCTAATTGTCTGTCAGTGCTCCTGTGTGTTGCCCTACTTAACATGAAACTGTAACACCATCTAATTGTCTGTCAGTGCTCCTGTGTGTTGCCCTACTTTAGCATGAAACTGTAACACCATCTAATTGTCTGTCAGTGCTCCTGTGTGTTGCCCTACTTAACATGAAACTGTAACACCATCTAATTGTCTGTCAGTGCTCCTGTGTGTTGCCCTACTTTAACATGACACTGTAACACCATCTAATTGTCTGTCAGTGCTCCTGTGTGTTGCCCTACTTTAACATGAAACTGTAACACCATCTAATTGTCTGTCAGTGCTCCTGTGTGTTGCCCTACTTAACATGAAACTGTAACACCATCTAATTGTCTGTCAGTGCTCCTGTGTGTTGCCCTACTTTAACATGACACTGTAACACCATCTAATTGTCTGTCAGTGCTCCTGTGTGTTGCCCTACTTAACATGAAACTGTAACACCATCTAATTGTCTGTCAGTGCTCCTGTGTGTTGCCCTACTTTAGCATGAAACTGTAACACCATCTAATTGTCTGTCAGTGCTCCTGTGTGTTGTCATACTGCTCCCTCCACTGTGTATGTCTACACTGCTCCCTCCACTGTGTATGTCTACACTGCTCCCTCCACTGTGTATGTCTACACTAAACACATAGGCCGGCATATAGCTTCTGTTAATGTACTCACTGCTTGTTGTTTCAGACCACTTGGGAAAAGATCTTGATGATTATGTAAAAACTTTGAGTGTAAAAGTTAAAGTTCTCAGGTCATTTGAAAGAACTGGTTTAATAAGAGCCAGGTTGAAAGGTAGGTACATTTGTCATTTTTGTATAGTTTTTCCTTATCCTGACTCATGCTCTTTGCTTGTCTTCTTCTTCTTGCTAACATAGTGGAACACTTGTATCTCCTTATTTGAAGCCCCTTCAAAATAAAATCACTAATTGGTACTCACCACGAAGTTGCTCCCCTTTGTTTCCCCTGGCGGAAAGGTGTCGCCACCCTCTGGCCATGTGCTCCACTCTCCTTCTTCGCCCAGTGAGCAGGATGATGAGAGAGCTGTGTCTCCTTACACACCATATCCTTTGATAATCTCTTAGTTTTACCTCTCATAGGTTACTATAGAGGTATAGCTAGTATCCTTTACTATTTGTATTGATTAATTATCGTGATTTCTACTGTTTATTCACGCGTATTCGCGATTGTTCAGCTAGCTTTACGCTGATGAAAATCTGTACGATTTGTAGATTACGCTTTTCTGCCTCCGATCCACATGTAATATGCCCTAGTTGTTCTACTGCGCGCGCTTAATTCACGCTGCAGTTACTGCATTAATTTATCTCATTCTGCATTTAATAAATATCATCTTTATGCCTTTAAGACGCATGCAGATAGATCACGCAAACAAGGGCAAAACATGGCAGAGAGTCCAGATATTCCATCCAGTCAGCTGCTAGCGATCGACCCTCTCCGCCTGGTGTTCTGCTAGAGACCCTTCGTAGAGGAACGGGGACGCAGTCCGCTACTCGAAGAAACGACCGCCTCCCCAGACATCCCGCCATTGCAGACCAAGTCTAAGAGGGCCTCATCGCCGCCTCAACGCAGATTGAGGACACCCAGGGCAGCGCAGACTTCCAAAGGGAAATTCTACGAAGACAGCAAGAACTTTCAGCCGAGATCGCTCCAGCAGCAGAATTGGGCCTCTACGATGATCAGCCGATAATCATCCCCGACTTACGCAGAAGAAGCGACCGTGTCAGCGACTGTGACTTCTGCAGAGATCACCATGCAGCCTGATGCTCTACACCGACGCCAGACGCCATTGATGTGAACCCCATCGCAGAAAAGACGCCGACGACTTCGCCACAGATCATCCCAGAAGACATGATGCGCAGATTATGAACATCATGGAGGACCACTACAAACTGCGCAAGCAGGGTCCGAGCCTTCGCTGAAGGCTCCAACGTAGACAGCACCCCAGAGGCACCCCCGCCAACGAGCAGCCAAGACGATGTCACCTTCGCGCTAAGGAAGTCCCGCACCACCTTGACGGCGGACCTAGATGTACAGCTCTTCGCTAAGGCCTTCGGCTGGCGGAGAGATCATCACCATCTTCGATTTCATCTCTAGATATGGACTCAGACCATCAGACATCACGGAGGCCTTCGCTAAGGTCATATCATCGATCCCCCGACCGACGCAATGAAGCTTCGAAGCTTCGCTAAGGCATTCGCTGGCGACATATGATTCCAGATCCTCATCATCTAGAAGAACATCGAGGGACTGCCGAAGAGCTTCGCTGGGCTATCAACATTCACCTCACAAGTCTCCGAAGATCATCCCATAGACGCATCTCCACTTCGCTCATCACCAGGTCGACACCCGCCAGATCTCCACATAGAGCGCGACAAGTCAACTAGATCGCCACAAACCTCATCAGATATACAGACAGCTACACGCAGTCCCTAAGAGCATCTACAATTTGTTAATGATGATGGTTTTGAGGATGATGGAGGAATCATATTTTCTGATGCAGAGATACGGTATTGATGGTCAATAACCTAGATCTCACATCACCATCTAAAAGTGGCAATACAGCGCAGACGATTTGATGAAGGAAGATGATCCAGATGCAATCACTCTACCCCGATCGACCCGATTATGCAGTGCCACAGAATCTAGATGCAGCTTTCCAGAAAGCTACGAAAAGTTCAGATACCACATCTGCCCAACTTTCAAGCCAAGAAGTTCTCCACGATAACATGGACTCCTTCTACAAGGCCCAGGACATCGATGAGAACTATAAGATCATCAGCCATGTAAAGAACAAGATTTACAAGATGGATGATCGCAAGTTGGCTCATATAGAAACCATGACGAGACGTGATGTTCTTTGGGTTAAATAGATCTAGGACGCATCAATGAGACTCTTATTACTAGATTCCGGATTCCACGACGGAAGATGATAGAATGATTTATTCTGCCTTACTTATGCAAAAGAAAGATCAGCAGTTTTAACGGATCATCTTACATCTGTTTCAGCAGCATTGACCTTAGCTCGCCGCCAAGGCCTCCTCGCCTCTGTAATTGGGGAGAACTTTACAGCCCCACTTTATACAGCCCCGCGGTCGACAACATCCATCTTTGACGGAGAAATCGACAAAGTCGCCAAGGAAGTCTCTAAGGATTCCAGGGAAGTCCTTATGATTAGATCGATGGACACACTAGCCAGCCATTTCGGCCAGACTTCACAAAGATACTCAGGCAGATCTAAGTTCACGGGCCTACAAAGAGCAAGAGACAGGAAGATAGCCAGCTCTAGAGGTAAAGATTCTTTTCACGCCCATATGGCAACTATAGAGGAGGATCAGGAAGAGGCAGGACACCCAGAGGTTCCCGCAATTATAGACGCTGAAACACAGGTTCGAACGACTGGAGTCTTCCACCCCAGCCGCTCCAGTACAGCCAGCTCAAGTGGGTGGACGCCCAACTACACTGGGAAAACTGGGGAATATTGCAAGACCCTTTACGCCTCCAACATTCTTCAACACGGATTTCAGATCCCTCTACAGGCTAAGCCTCCGCTGACAATCAAACCCCCAAGTTCGATTTACAAGCTTAAACAACTACCAAAGATAAGAGAGGCTGTTTCATCACTCCTATCCAAACAGGCCATAGAAGTAATAGATCAAGCAAACGCCGAACCAGGTTTCTACTCCCCAGTTTTCCTAGTTCCCAAGAAAACTCCACGGAGAAATACAGACTCATCTACAACATGAGCTTTTTCAACAAGAACTATCTACGCAAAACCACCGGGTTTCAAGATGATACATTTACCTCAGTTACGCCAGATGATTCGGCCCTATGGACTACATGGGCAGCATAGATCTACAGGATGCCTACCTGCACATCCCCATTCATCCCGATTCCAGGAAATACCTACGATTTACTCTAGAAGGGCTACATTACCAGTGGAAAGTACTTCCCATTCGAATATCATCAGCCCCTGGCTATTCACGAGGATAACGAAACCGATTATCAAATTTCTACATCGCCAAGGGCTACGCGAGTGCTTTACCTCGACGACGGGATACAAGTAGATCAAGATCCACTGCGCCTCAAACTACAGTTAAATTACATCATAAAGCTACTAACACAACTAGGTTGGTTAGTAAACTTACGCAAGTCGGACCTAGTACCATCGCAAGACCTGCAGTTCCTAGGTATTCGATTCATCACAAATCGCAAACCGTATTATGGTACCAGAAGACCGCTATTCAAGATACAGCAGACCATTCCACCAGCTCTACTCTCTCCGCTACCACTCGCGACAATGGCAGAGCCTACTAGGTCTTCTCACATCAGCCCAAGACATGACTGTCACAGGCAGATTACAGTTACGCCCCCTACAGGTCTCATCAACGACATCTCAACGATGTACAACCATTCAGTCTACCAAACATCTCAGACCGCATCTACTATGGTGGACCAAGAAATCGAATGTCTCATGAAGGGATTTGTTTAGCAGAGCAGGAATACAAAACCCATCTGTATGTAGACGCTGTTACCCAAGGTTGGGGAGCTCATCTCACCAACCACACGATATCAGGGTTATGGAATCAGCAAGAATGCAAACCCATATAAACAGTCTAGAAATGAAAGCTGTAATCAACGCTTATTCTACATTGGAGCACATTTCTACAAAATGCTACTTAATGATCCATACAGACAATTCGACAGTGGCGCTTCTACATAAACAAGCAAGGCTCAACGAGATCGATGAACCTTTTGAACCTAAGCTTTCAACTGTTCGATTTAATACAAGATCTAAATCTACATGTCAGAGCAGTGCACATTCCCGAGCCAGAAATATACTAGCAGACGCCTTCTCGCCTCATCTACCATCACCGACAGAGTGGATGATCAACAGGGAAATTTTTGCACAGATAATCAAGCAATTAGGAGCCGCTTAATAGACCTATTCGCCACGCCGATTCAACAATCAGCTACCGACATTCGTGGTCACCAGTCCCAGACCCCCAAGCTTGGGCAACGGATTTAAGTCTATCATGGAAGGCCTCACGCGCACGCTGCTTCACCAGCCAGCAATAATACCTCAAGTATTACAGAAAATCAGACAAACACAGAGCCTACAACTCACTTTGGTCGCTCTACTGGTCGGGTGCAGAACGTGGTTTCCCATACTAATTCAAGAAATCGGTCAACCAACACTGGAGCTACCTGCCGCGAAACCTGTTAATTCATCCTCACACCAAACAAGTGCACGGAAACCCAGCAATGTTCCAACTACACGTATGGACTGTATACAAATGTGTTTAAACAAGAGAGGATATTCTGCCAGGGCGCAAAAGCAGTCACGCTTTGCCTTTACGCTATTCAACTCGTGAACTTGTACGACGACAAGTGGCACAGTTTCAAAAATTATGCAACAAAGAAAGGGTTTACAGCAAGAGAGGCTTCACAACCTCAAGTGGCAGACTATTTGTGTTACCTACGCCAAAACAAACATTTAAAAGGTTCAACGATATCAACATATCTTGCCGCTTTTTAGTTCTGTAATCACCATGAGAACGGGTGTCAAATTGACAAGATCTCCAGAGTTACTGGCCTTACTACGAGCTTCCGATTGAGGACCAAAAGCGAAGTTCCACTTCCAGCTTGGGATCTGAATGTAGTGTTACAACACCTCACGAGTGAGGTCTATGAACCTTTGAATCGACAAACTTTGAATTTCTCTCACAGAAAACACTGTTTCTGCTATCGCTAGCCACAGCAGCAAGAATGTCTGAAATTCACGCCTGGATTACGAGAGGATACAGTTTGATGACAATCATAACACAGCACTCGATTAAGATGGGATTTCATCGCGAAAAATCAACTGCCAGGTCAACCAGACAGATTATTCCACATCCCGGCGCTTATCCTCTATTCTCGATCACAAGATACACAAGACCTATCACTGTGTCCGTAAGAGCTTCAAAGTTTATTTTACTTACGATCCAAAACAAGGAGAAGATTTCTCAAACGCTTATTCATCCCCTTATCGCCACTTAATCAAACAGAAGTGTCACGGACCACAATATCTATTTGATAAGGACTGTCATTCTCCTGCCTACCTACAAGGCAGCAGGCTTGGACCCACCAACAGCATCAAATCCACATGAGATCAGGGCACTGGCCTCTACCCTCTCTACACGGTAACTGTTCCTTGAACACGATTATGGAAGGATGCTATTGGAAATCTAACATGGTATTTGCTAATCACTACCTGAGAGACATCACTACAGAAGATGTCTCTGGCATTCACCATTTCGACCACTGGTCCTCGCCAGCAACTGACAGTCCCTCGAGAGGCTAAAATATTATCCTCACAAGATTAATATGTATTTTATACATACTCATCTAGCTTATAACTCTACGGAGTTTTAGGGCTATGTATATATGTTCAGCTTAAGTATTCAACCTTAAGCATATACTTTGGTATAGTCAATTTCAGTGCCTCTATCAGAGTCACCTATATATATATATATATATTTATATGTATTGTTCAATATATTCATAATGTAATTCCCTTTAATGGCTTTATATAACCTATGGTTTTCTTTATACAGGAAACATCCTAAATCTAAGCCTTCATGAAGTTCCCGTGAGGGGATATTACAGTATATCTATACAAAATCACTAATTATAAATCCAAAGTATTCTGTTACCCACCTCCGTCTGTGAGGATGCTACAAGTAAGAGCATGAGTCAGGATAAGGAAAAATATGTAATTTTTAGAGTAAAATTGATATTTTATACTTATCCTGACTCATGAGGTTAGCCCTCCCATCCTCCCCACATAACACTTTGGATTTCCTGTAAATTCAAGTGTTGGGCTCTAAATCAGGAGAGAGTGGAGCACATGGCCAGAGGGTGGCTGGCACCTTTCCCCGCCAGGGGAAACAAAGGGGAGCAACTCGTGGTGAGTACCAATTAGTGATTTTATTTTGAAGGGAGCTTCAAATAAGGAGATACAAGTGTTCCACTATGTTCGCAAGAAGAAGAAGACAAGCAAAAGAGCATGAGTCAGGATAAGTATAAAATATCAATTTTACTCTAAAAATTACATTTTATTATCTGCATTTCTGGCTTTTTCTCTTACTTATAATGAAAACGATAAAATCATATAACAATACACAGACAGTCAGAATCATTCTGATTACTTACTTCTCATATTTATGTACAAACGATCCCTGAATCAATGGTCTCAAAGCCGCCATTTTGTTAGAAATCGGTCAGCGATAGTGATGTCATACGTCAACATTGTTGTACATAATAGGCAATTTCTTTGAGGTGAAGGTCGGTTGAACAAGACTAAACACAATTGCCCAATCCTTCCGTTTACACTGTCAGTATTATGGTGTATATTTTGCGTATAGTTCTGATAATTATTCATGAAACTGACTTCAGTATCTACATTCAGCTTTGTCCAATATCGTAACATACGTGCATATAGGGTTTACAGTGTTTCATTCTTTGAAAGTTTTTGATTGTTTAAATCATATTTACATAAGAAATTGACATATTTAGTGCAGTATACCATATTCTAAGCCTTTACACAAGTGTTTGAAGATCAAACGTAGCCATAACTGCAACTACTTTAGTTCCTATGATGTACAATATTCAATTTATTTGGACTAATATTGCAATTTCATATGAACAGGTTAATGAACTGTGATTTAATTCAACCTTATAAGTAAAACTGATAATGTTAATGAAAATGATTTATATTTGGTATAACCTAGTGTTCAGCATAACAGAGTTATGCCCCCTTGTCATTATACATGTATGACCTATTCTTGTTTTTGCAAGCCATTTTTAATGCTGACATCATAGAAGAAAATCCCCATTCATATGTACACTTTTGTCGCTTCAGCCATTTTAATGCTGGGCTCGCCACGCCAAAGACGGTTCGATTATGCTTAAGCACATGAACCCAATTCAATATGTACAAGCGGCGAAAACTAAACTCAGTCAGTCAGTCAGTCAGATATCAGGCTGTATTTTCTTCGCTCACACTTTCCGTAATGATGCCACATAAAAAAATACGTAGCACAGTGCTTTTATCGGTGTGCGATAAAAAGCGGAGAAATTTACTGTTTTTTAACGCATAACAAAAATTTGGACAACATTTAGCAGTGTCTATTTCTCAAACCTCCAAGGTAGTTGCACTTATATTTATACCAACGGATAGGAAATTTAATATTATACATTTCTGTGTAATTTTATAGCCGTACATAGATCCAGGACCACGCGAGCACAATTCTCGCACAACGTTCACTTTTCAAACCTTATGAAAATGTACCTGAAGAAACCTCGGCATCCAGGGGGTTAAGTGAGTCTAAACTTTTGATGGGTAGTATATGAATCTAGGAAGCTACGGAAGGAACAGATATGATAACATGGAAGTTCTGTAACATGAGGCTCAGGTTAGTGTCTAAATTCAGACATTGCTGTTGCACTGGAGTTTCACAAAACCCAGATGAGGTGCTTGTCCTCTTTGTGTTAGGGTAGAAGAAACCACTTGGAACCACTTTAAACCTGTGGGGAGTTTAAATCAGTGGGGTAAGGTCTGTGTCTGATTTGCATACCTCCATTAAATCTCCTGCTCTCTGTGACAGGAGCTAAGGAAGCTCGTGGAGATGTCATCACGTTCCTGGATGCTCATTGTGAGTGTACAGAGGGTTGGCTGGAACCCTTGCTGTATGAGATCCACAAGAACAGGTGAGTGTGGGCCTTGATCAATGTCTGTGTGGATGATAGATGTGTGCTTAAGTGATCAATGTCTGTGTGGATGATAGATGTGTGCTTAAGTGATCAATGTCTGTGTATATGGCTGGTGTCAGTTTAGATGATCAGTGTGGAAAAATTAACTTGTCATGGATTATTGAGAGCAGGAACATTCCCACCCACCCAAAAACACCCCAAATGTATATTTCTGTAACAGACACACAGACATGCATGCACACACACAGTTCAGATGTGTATTTGTGTGATAGACACAGAAATGCACACAGACACAGTTCAGATGTATATTTGTGTAACAGACACACAGACATGCATGCACACAGACACACAGTTCAGATGTGTATTTGTGTGACAGACATGCATACACACAGTTCAGATGTGTATTCGTGTGACAGACATGCATACACACACAGTTCAGATGTGTATTTGTGTGACAGACATGCATACACACAGTTCAGATGTGTATTTGTGTGAGACATGCATACACACACAGTTCAGATGTGTATTTGTGTGACAGACATGCATACACACACAGTTCAGATGTGTATTTGTGTGACAGACATGCATACACACAGTTCAGATGTGTATTTGTGTGAGACATGCATACACACACAGTTCAGATGTGTATTTGTGTGACAGACATGCATACACACACAGTTCAGATGTGTATTTGTGTGACAGACATGCATACACACACAGTTCAGATGTGTATTTGTGTGACAGACATGCATACACACACAGTTCAGATGTGTATTTGTGTGACAGACATGCATGCACACAGACACAGTTCAGATGTGTATTTGTGTGACAGACATGCATACACACACAGTTCAGATGTGTATTCGTGTGACAGACATGCATACACACACAGTTCAGATGTGTATTCGTGTGACAGACATGCATACACACACACACAGTTCAGATGTGTATATGTGTGATTGACTCACAGACATGCATGTACACAGACACGGTTCAGATGTTTGTTTGTGTAACAGACTCACAGACATGCATGCACACAGACACACAGTTCAGATGTTTGTTTGTGTAACAGACTCACAGACATGCATGCACACAGACACACAGTTCAGATGTTTGTTTGTGTAACAGACTCACAGACATGCATGCACACAGACACACAGTTCAGATGTATACAGGTATATCTATATCACAGTTCTGACAATGCTAAATAATGGCGTTGCTTTTAAGTATTGAACTGAGAAAGTGACTCGGTAAGAAGAACGTGTGGTGAAATAGTTAAATGAAATTACATAAACAGATAAATCGGTAATCTACTGTCATAACATATAAAAAGCTCGCGCCTGTGATATATCAACAAAACATTAGAAAAATAGCTCACATCAAAGCCTGCTCCAAGTACTCACTGCCAGCGAAAATGTGAACACCTCACTGGTTGACACATAGTTGAGTAGATCTAGATCCTTAACAAGGTTATTTTTTGTAACGAGTAGATTATGTACTATTTGTTGTTTGTGTACACAACCAAGATTAGGCTACTCCTGCTCTCGACTTTATAATTTGGGCATCTCGCTTCAAGCTTGGTGAACCTATTCACTGCACATGTGCTATGAGCGCAGCACAGCTGTTGAAACCACTTTTCACCCCAGTTGGGATGAATTTAGTGAATCGTTTGAACTCTGATTTTGCTGGGGGGGTTTTATCGCATTATTTTCAACTTCATAAGTTGAATTTGCATTTTTGATAATTAGTTACTGTAAGTCCATACCGAAAGATATCAGAATCTGCAAAGTTGTGTTTTGATTGCATGTAACCTTTAACTTGTCCGCCTTATTTGAAGTACGGTAATGAAATCTGATGAAAGTAACAGTGTCAGTGCTGATGTGTTTGCAGGAAGGCTGTGGTGTGTCCAATCATTGATGTGATAAGTGACGACACGTTCGAGTACATCACTGGGTCGGACATGACGTGGGGAGGCTTCAACTGGAAACTCAACTTCCGCTGGTACCCTGTGCCGCAGAGAGAACTGGAGAGACGAGGCGGTGACCGCAGTCAGCCTACAAGGTGGGCAGAGTTCCCTCCCTTTCTACACCCACACCACTCATCTCTGCATGTATTAAACATGTCCTTAGACTCAGCGTTTTGGGTTTGTTCATCAAAGATGTATATTTTTCCTTATCCTGACTCATGCTTATTGCTTGTCTCCTTCCTCTTGCCAACTTAGTGGAACACTTGTATCTCCTATTGAAGCTCCCTTCAATAAAACAGACGTAAAATCACTACTCACCAGAGATGTCTCTATTTCCGTTTTGGCGGGAAACCGTGGCGCCACCGTTCTCCCACGCTTCACTCTCTCCTTCTTCGCCCTAGTGGACGGTTGGGAGAGCACCTGTGTCTCCTATACGGCACTATATCTGTTTATTACTTAGTTATTATCCTCTATTCTACTTTTATAGAGGTTTAGTTAGTATCCTTCAACAATATGGTTTGAAATTTAGTCGTATTTAGCACTGTTTATTCACGGTTTGTCCATGTTTGTTCAGTTGTTTACATTTCATGAAACCTGTTTTCGTTGTATAATCGGTTCTCTGCTGCTGACCCGCATCTACTGTGCCCTAGCTGCACTAAGACATGTTTTTCCAGCTCAGGCTTATTCATTGCCATCATTTAACTAATTTTGCATTTAATAAATAATTTCTTTGCGTCCTTAGAGGTGCTGCAGACAGGTCGAGACGGCTTTGTCAATCATAGATACGCCGGCTGAGTCCCTCTTGAGTCAACTGATGTCAGACGACCCCCTTGCTGTCTGGTGATGCGCTGGAGAATTCCTCGGGGGACAGGCGTGGGACGTTGTCTGCCACCCCCAAGAAGAGGCCTGCTACTCCGGACATCCCATCGTCGCAGCCTAAGATGAAGAAGCCATCCTCTACCCAGAGAAGGCTACACATCCCGAGGACGACGACCACCTCTACAGGGAAGTCAGCGCAGACTACAAGGACTTTCTCGGCCGAGATTGTCCCGATGGCGGAACAGGGACTCTACGATGAGCAGCCGCTCGTTATCCCAGAGATACATCACCTCAAGCAGAGGCCAGTCTCAGCAACGTTGACTTCAGCGCAGCTGTCTACGCAGTCCGAGGTATCTACACTGACGGCAGATGAGCGATCCCTGGCCCATATCGCTACCAACGCAGAGAGGGCAGCTCATATATCACCGCAGACATTCAACCCGGGGTCTTCATGCAGCAGTTTCCCAACAGATCATAGAGATGATGGAGAGGCGCTGCGCACTTGAAAGGGCATCGCATGTTCAACAACCAGCCCACAGAGAGGCCCTCCACCTACGTGACGTCTGAGAACAGATCTACGATTCGTGAGGTCAACCAGCCTGAGCGAAGGACGACTCACCCATCCCCAGCTGCGGCCTCGGACGATCAGCATTTGTGAAGGCACTCGCGAAGGACGTCTCACCCATCCCCAGATGCGGACTCGGACGATCAACATTCGCGACGGCACTCGCGAAGGACGACTCGCCTATCCCCAGATGCGGCCTCAGATGATCAGCATTCGCGAAGGATGTCGGACACAGCCTCCAAGACATCACGCAGATTGTCGAGGGATTCACCGAGGCATTCGCGAACCAAGAGTCGCTCATCTCCAGGCAGGTCTCCGCGCAGGTTACCCTACAGACGCAGTTCACCGGGCTTCTCTCCACGCCGATCTCCAAACGGAAAAAGAGAAACCAAAGGGAGGTCTTCCCGCACGCAGGTTTCCACGCATGTCTCCACGTAGATCCCCAGCGCAGTAGCACGCACCTCTACAGGACGTCGATGAGCCTGCGCGAAGGCCATCTACAACGCAGAGTCATCGCAGTACTTAGCCTCTCAACAGAACGCTACATACCGTTCAACACGCCTGCGCGAAGGCATTCGCGCAGGCCATCTACAACACAGAGAAGTCGCAGTACTTAGATTCTCAACAGAACGCTACATGCCGTCACCGAGCCTAGCGTGAAGGCATTCGCACAGGCCATCTACAACGCAGAGACGTCGCAGTACTTAGCTTCTCAACAGAATGCTACATGTCGTCACCGAGCCTGCGCGAAGGCATTCGCACAGGCCATCTACAACGCAGAGACGTCGCAGTACTTAGCTTCTCAACAGAACGCTACATGTCGTCTACAACCTGCGTGCAGGACGGCACTATCTTCAGAGACCGTCAACAGATGATGAGCCTAATAAAGGATCTTCAGGCCGACTACCTACATCAAGGGCATCAACGACGCCTCGCAGATCATCACGGGAATCACCATTTCGCAATATATTGCCAGGAAGGCAATCCCGGACTACGAGACGATTACTTACACACAAGGCGCCATACAGACACACCACGACGACCACCACGCAGATCGCTACGCAGATCTTCAGGTTACTCAACCAGGACACGAGGGTGACTGGACCTAGCGTCACCCTAGAAGGGAAAGATCTTCGTCGGCACACAGACTGAAGGGCATGTAATAAAGTTCAAGAGGGGTACTCTTGTCCGAATTCATCACCGGCACAGCTCTTCAGACTGAATCCGGGACGGGATTCACATAGATTGATATATCTACTTTAGAAGACTCATGGCCATATAGAGATCTTCACTTCCGTACAAATCTGCAGATATTCTCACTGGCGTGGTTCAACAGCAGCCTTGCTAAGGCTAGGTAACTACATTCTCGTCAACGATTCCCTGAGTAGAATTTCCAACAAAGTTCAGCATTAATTCTACAATTACGACGCTTCATTGAGATGGCTGTATGCAGTCTACAAGAGCAGCACTAACAACGTGACGATTTCAGCTGATCATCTGTATAAAGGGCGACAACATTATCTTCAGGACTGAAGTAACAGTCACAGCAGCCAGGAAAACAGCCTACCTACATCGGTATTACGCGGCGAAATATTTCGCGCATTTACCATTCCACCCTCGATACACGTGGTCACTCGTGTAACTCCGGAAGGCTACGGACAAGACCGAAAGGTGATCAGATATCAACGGCGGCACTAGATTCTACAAGGACCTTTTTTCCTGCTACACTGGTGACGTCACAGCACGGCAAGCCAAAGGAATCAAAATGCTTTATTTTGATTGGACCACGAGAGACAATGCCCTGCGCAGAGGTCGGCCGTAGTTCACAGGTCAAGAAGTGGGTTACAAGTGACAACAACCTGTCAGCGAGCGAGGAAGGCCTCAATTACAGTCCAGTTAGGCGGGACCTACGTGATTTGGCTGCCTTCACGAGGTTAGAGACCTTCCCTGTCATCATTGCAGACGATTCATCAGACGAATTGCAGCAACATACGTTGGACAGACTTTGGGTGACGGCAGCCAGACGACTTTATATAGACTTCACACCGATGGCAGTCTCGGAGCTGGACATAGCTTCATTTCCCTTACGGACACGGCAAGGGTTTCAAGATCGTAGGATACAGATACTAGTCCTTGTATCTCAAGCACTACTCTCTCCGTTATTACTACGAAGTGGCAGAGTCTGTTGGTTCTTCTCACGTCAGCACAAGACATGACACGCAGAAGGATCAACAAGGTCGGGGAACCTTCTGGACCTCTGCTTTCAACTGGCCAGCATAACAGTCAACCTGAATGTCCACATCAGAGCATGCCACATTCTAAGAGCCAAGAATGTGATAGTAAATGCACTATCCTGTCCAACGCAGCCATTCTCAACAGACTGGATGCTACATCCAGAGATCTTCAAGCAGATCATACGAGAGATGGGAGCACCATTAATAGACCTCTTTGCCACAAGGGTCAACTGATAACATTCGTCTCACCAATACCAGATCCACGGGCATGGGCAACGGACACTCTAAGCATCTCCTGGCAAGGACTAAACGCTTACGCGTTTCCACCACCAGCTCTAATACTGAGGGTGTTGCAGAAAATCAGTCAGACGAGAGACCTACAACTACTTGGGGCGCGCCTTACTGGCCAGCGAGAATATTGTTCCCTATTCTCATACAAGACCTAGGACTGCCTCAACTGCAACTACCAGAGTGGACGAATCTACTAGTACATCCTCACACAAAGCAGGCGCACGGCAACCCAGAGGTGTTCCGGCTACACGTGTGGACTGTATCAAGGCATGCTTGAACAAGAGAGGATATTCCGCCAGGGCAGCGAAAGCAGTCACACTAGCTTTACGCAAGTCTACACTCAACTTGTACGACGACAAGTGGCGACACTTCGAGACATACGCTTCGAGGACCGGCTTCACTGCCATGAAAGTGACACATCCTCAAGTGGCGGACTACCTTTGTCACCTAGACAAACGAAGCGGTTAAAAGGGTCAACACTCTCAACATACCTAGGGGCATTGAGCTCAGTTATCGCCATGAGGACGAGTGCAACTGACAAAAGTACCAGAGCTACTGGCCTTACTACGCCCTTTTAATTGGAGGACCAACAACAGAGACTTAAAGCTCCGGCGTGGGACCTCAACGTAGTTCTACGACATCTCACTAGTGACATCTACGAACCATTACAGAGAACATCATTCGAGTTCTTGACGCAGAAGACGCTGTTCCTGATAACTTTAGCAACAGCAGCAAGGATGTCGGAATACATGCTCTGGACTTCGAGAGAACACGATTTGATGCAAATCAAAACATCGTGCATATTGGACTGAGATGGGACTTCATAGCAAAGAATCAACTGCCAGGTCATCCAGACAGACAGTTCCACGTCCCACCTCTATCATCAGTCCTTGGACCACAGGATACGCAGGTCCTATCCTTGTGCCCAGTGAGAGCATTGAAAGTCTACCTACAACGATCCAGGTCCAGGAACCGGAAATTCAAGTGTCTTTTCGTCTCGATATCGACAGCGACACAGACGGAGGTCTTCCACATTAAAATATCAGGCTGGATCAGAACTGTCATACTACAGGCCTCCTGAAGCAGCAGGACTTGATCCTCCAAGAGCCTCCAACCCACATGAAGTTAGAGCTCTGGCGTCAACGCCACTTCTACATGGGAATCGCTCTATCAGGACGATAATGGA